GTTTCTGTTTTTTGATCGGGACCACAGGTGTGAGATGGCATCTGAATGTGGTTTTCATTTACATTTTCTGGATGATACGAGATAAGCATTTTACCATCTGCCCATTGGCCCTCTGAATTTCTTCTTTGGAGAGGTATGTATCTATTTAGCTCCTCTGCCCATGTTTTTCTTTTTCTGGGGGGGGGGGAGTTATTCATTTTCTTGTTGAGATCACTGTAAATCTTGGGTATGTCAGGTGTATGATGCACATATATTTTATCCACTCAGTAGGCTGTCTTTTTCATTTTAAGGCTGCTTTCCTTCACTGTATGAAGCATTTTCAGTTTGATGTGGTTTTACTAGTCTACTTTTGCTTTTGCTTCCTTGGAGCACAGAAGATATTTAAGGCAGTTACAACACTCTGTCGGGCATTATAACGATGAATACATGTCATCATGATATATATTCATCAAAGATTTTTGCGGAGCAGGCCCAGAGACCAAGGACCTCAGGCAGGTTCTTCCTTAATTCTTGTCTTTGGTTCTTCCTCAATTCTTGTCTGGAGACCAAAGTTACCAAAAAGCAAGGGATTTATTGATAGCTGGGAGGAAGGACAGGAAAGCTCTCTGAGCAGAGAGCTGAATGGAGAGGGGATCGAGGTAACAAAAGAAAGGACAGAAAAACTCTCTAAGTGGCAAGGGCTCCCGAGTGGCAGTCACTGAGGCACCCAGAAGTAGTGCTCATGTGGGTACAGAGGGCAAGGGGCAGGGATCCTGCCCCTGGTGTTTCTGACATTCTGTCTCTTGCTGATTGGCTGATCCGTGGGGTCTTCTGGGATAACCAGGCCCACTGAGGTTTCCCCCGTCACTCAGTCTACGTTTCCAAAACCAGTTTTAGTCCATTGCTATTGTGCTACCATATGTTTTTGTTCTAAACATTCCACTTTTCATTTCATTGGGTGGCGGGTGGGATCCTCCCGGCATGTGATTGCTTCTCAGTCAGGCTAATAAATGGAATTGGGGCTTGGGAACCCTGTTCCTCACTGTCTGCCTGTCCCTATTTCCTAACTGCTCCTTCAATGATGCCCTTGTCCAAACTCCATAGAATGAACAGTCAAGAATAAACCATGAGTCAAAACATGGGCCATGAGAATTGATGACATGCAGGTTCATCCCATGCAATAAATATGTCACTCTGGTCTTTACATATGATTTGGACATGATCTGTGAAATGTTTTCAAGTTAATAGAATGTCAGTGTGATTTAGTTTTGAAAGCATTATTTCATATAATTTCAAGAATATTAGCATAACACGAAAGGCTAAACACACCCCACCCCACACTCTGCCATCCCCCAGGAAGCCAGGGCATCTTCCCCAAACCATTGAACAATTTATTATTAATCTCAGACTGATCTAGCAATGCTTTTCTCTAGTCATTTCATATTTGGTCATGCCAGGACAGGAGTTCAGAACACAGAATGAAAGGAAAGATTTACAAATCATGAATCTGATAAAGGACTGATGTGCTGACTTTACAAAAGAACATTTAAAATTCAATACCAAGGCCCTCCCCGGTGGTACAATGGGTTAGGATGCAGCATTGCAAGCTAGTAGCAGCCACTTCAGTGAGAGTTCGATCCCTGGCCGGGAGGTGATCCTCATGGTGCAGCCGACCTCACTTGACTTGCCCACTGCTCCCCTCAGCAGTGTATTTTGTCGATCTGCCAGTTCTGCTCCCCGCTCTGTCTCTGGTGAATCCTCTCACAGCCTCTGCAACTATGTCCTGTACTCTGTCCAGTTCTGTATGCATGAATAAATCTTTCAAAAAAAATTCAACATCAGGAAATAACACAACTTTAAAACAGACAAAAACAGTGCTATAAGTTAACACCTCACACACACAAAAAAAAAAGTTGGAAAAAAAACCTTAATGACACTTCATGGAAGAAGAGACGTAGATGGCAAAAAATATGTGATACCCAATATCACTTAACACCAGGAAAAGATCAATAAAAACAAGACTGATAGAAAATTACATACTAACTAGAAGCCAAACCCCCCAAATCACATAATACCAGGTGCTGATCAGGATGCGCACCACCACAAAACTTGTAGAGGGAAAATGCTCTACTTTCCAGTTTCCCAGGTTTTGTTATCCAGGGACAGGAAAGAGAGGTTCCGGGGGAAAAGCTGGAAACCTCACACCCTATAGGGCTCCTCATCTCCTCTTCTCTGAGCCGGGGTTCTCTGACTCTCACAGACCACCCCAGCCCCAGGACACCGCCCCCCAGGACAACCCACTCTGCCCCATTCAGCCCAGCTCAGTCCTGGGGCTCAGCCAGAATCGAGAGCAGCGCCGCAGCGCCCCCGTGTGGCCACAGCGCTGAGCGCAGGAGCCCAGAGCTGCCCTTTCTCCTGCTCAGCCAGGCCCCTCCAAGGCGCCCTGGCTCCCCGCTGCAGGACAGGGATCTGCTCACAAGGGGGCGCCCAAGTCCTGAGCCAGGTTGGGAGTATTCGCATTTCCTCCCTAGAGAGTCTTGTACTCAGGACAGAACCAGGTTTCAAAGTCTTAAGAGCTGATTCCAGCTTCTGGGCAGATGGCCACATTAAGGTCCCTCAGTCTCCTGGATGGAAACTTGGGCCCCAAAGACCCTGTAAGTTGTTTCTGCTTCTGCTCCTAGGGATGAAAGCAGCTGCTCCTGGGCATCAACCCTAAACTCTCCATCCACAGGATAAGGGGAGGTGCCAGGAGAGCCCCCAGGAACCTAGCTGGGAAGATGGGGAGGACCCTGGGAAAGGCAGGAGAGGCTGGAAAAGGAGACATTGTGGGCAGAGATGGAAGGGAGTGGAGGGGAGACTTAGAGAGGGTGGGGTCAAGGAAGGGCCAGCAGAGGGACTCTGTGAGGGAGGGTATGTGGGGTGACCGGCTCTGGCTGGGGCTGGGAGAGTCTGTGTCACCTGGTGGGTGCAGAGGGGGTGGCGCTGTGACTGACCCAGAAACCACGAGTTGGGGCCTTTCCTGTCCTGGCTGGGCTGGGGTGACCCCAACACTTCACTCAGACTGGTGAGAAGACAGATGGTGGGAGGGCAGGTGGTTAAGGGGAGGCCCCCATTTCCTGAGCCAGAACATTCATTTATACACACAAGAACTGGAGTGTAGTTCTTGTATGTATTTATACACACAAGAAGAGGTATGGGCGGGGAGAGAATTCACCAGAGATCGTTGGAGAACAGAGCAGGTGGATCCACTGAGATACACCACTGAGGCGAGCAGTGTGTGTGTGTGTGTGTGTGTGTGTATGTACATGTGTATATATGTGTATCTATATATATATATGTATGTATGTAATGGAATACTAACAGTGATCAGAAAAAAATAAACTCATGTAGACTGGACGATGTGGATGAACTAGAAAGGATTGTGTTAAGAGAAATAAGTGAGAAGGAAAAAATAGAGGGACTGTACTACTTGTTCCCTCTCAGATCCCCCAAAGACACACATGACCCACCACCCCACCTCTAACCACGAGGTCACCTGAGGTGCTGGGCCCTGGGCTTCTACCCTGCGGAGATCATCCTGACCTGGCAGCGGGATGGGCAGGACCTGACCCAGGACCCAGAGCTGGGGACACCAGAAGCGGGGAGGGGTCAGAACAGGGTGGGAAGAGCCCAGGGACTGAGGTGATGCATCAGGGTGCTGTGGTGAGGAGAACTGTGAGGACCAGACTGAGAGAGACTCAGATATTATACAAAACTGACAACAATGATATAAGGAAACAAATAAATTTAAATAATTTAAGTCGATTGCTGACAGCTAGAAAACTCATAAAATTCAATAAACCAGAAGTTCCAAAGTCACAAAATGGGGAGGAGAGAAATCCTGTAGCCCTCAGCCCCACAAGGCAGTGTTAGAGTGTAAAATATTGTTGTGTTCAATAACGACAGAGGCCCATGTCCGATGCAAAAACAAACGAGACTTTATTAGGCCAGCTCGAGCCAGGATCCTTCCTTTACGTGCCCTGTCACAGCAGGCGCACCCCTCAAGGAAGGATCCCGAAGATCTACAGAGTGGGGTTTATAAGGGCAGTTAGTAGGGCTGGGGATTTTCCACTGGGTACGTCTGTCCGTTGGTGGTGGGTGCCTGCAAATTCCTGTTTATCCAGATGTTAGGGACACAGCAGACAGACAGACAGACAGACAGACAGACAGACAGACAGACAGACAGACAGACAGACGCTGGGACCTTATCTTGATCAGGCAGGACTCTAGGCTTATCTCTGGGAACCCACCAGGCCAGCACCTTCCAGGAACAATGGCTCTGGAGGGTGGGAGCTGTCTAGTGGGAACTAACTTTTTACAACATTCCCAACAGGCAGCTGTCTCACTCTAAAGGAAACTGGTCAGGAACAAATTCACGTGAATCACTAAGTGTCAGTGTTGTCAACAGCCCGCCCATCCTCATACTATTCTCCTCACAGCTCCCCATAACTATCAGGGTCCGAGAACTCGATTACCGCGAAAGACAGACCGTCACGCAAGAATGCAATTCGTAAAGTAGAGTTTATTGGGCTGGCTAGCCAGGGTCAAGCCGTTCCCTGCCGGACACGCAGGATTCAGGCAAGACCCCGACCAAAGGAAAGTCAGGGAATATATTGACCTTGTTGGCCGTTACATACGTCAGAGCCCGCGCAGATTCAACTTGGCAAATGGATTCAAGGATTAACAGACGTCACAGCCTGGGTCACAGTTCAAGCACCCAATGACAGGTTTCCAGGAATAGATGTCTCATTTCCTGGTGCCCCAGATCCAATCAGCCTGGGGCACACCACTCCCATTACCCAATCAACCACAAATGCACATTGTCCCTCCTCAACCCATCCTGCACTCTGGGGAATGGGGCGGGGGTGGGGGTGCCTGCCCGAGCCAGTCCAGCCCTGCTCAGCCACCCCCTCCATTCCTTCATAACCTGTGTCCCTGCTCTCTGCCCTAGCCCCTTCCACGCAGGCCTCAGGGTCTCACCTTTAGGGGCTGAAAGGAACATCAGGGTCCTGGGCACTATCGCTGCCTGTGGGAGAACAACACAGACCTGGTCAGAGCCAGGAGACAAGAGACCAAAGGCGGGACTGATGGGGTGACTCCCGCAGGGGCTCCATCTACACTGTCCCAGGGGCTCCATCTACACATGCCCCTGATGCACACTTACCCACAGACAGAGTGTAGATTCCTCTCTGTCCCCCTGTGGGAAGAGACATCATGTGAGACCAGGGAAGAATCAGGTCAGACATCCTAAGGATATTTTTAAAATCTGCACTAGAGGGAAGTTTCCAGAACTGTGACTAAAGCCCCAGGTCAGGACTAGGAAAATAGAGGATATTATGCAGGAGGGAGAGGGGGAACTGGATGAAACCCCTTTGGGTAGCACAGGTGTGTGGCTGGTGCTTCCCATTAACCAGGTGGGGCAAGTTCTCCCTGGGACTTGAAAGCCCCTAATGGACAGGATCCCCGACTCACTCCCTACCTGAGTGCTTCTTCCTCCACATCACAGCTGCAGCCACCGCAGCCCCAGTGAGCACAGCTCCAAGGAGAACCAGGCCAGCAATGAGGTCCCCGGTGGGGATGGAGGACTGAGGAGGGGGCTCTGGAAGGGAAGGGGAGGGGAGACCCTGAGTCCCAGGTCTCATCCTGACACTCTGAGGGGTCCAGCAGGACTCCTGATCCTCCTAAGATGATCCTCTGTGCCCACGTCCCCCTCCTCACCCCATCTTAGGACTCGGGGTTCTGGCAGCCCCTCATGCTGCACATGGCACGTGTATCTCTGCTCCTCTCCAGAAGGCACCACCACAGCTGCCCACTTCTGGAAGGTTCCATTGCCCCCAGGCCTGGTGTCCACCAGTTTCATGTTCTCGGTCAG